GGATCTGTAGAGCGGGAGGGAGAAGCTAGAGGTGGATGGGGCTTGGGTCACCCCTTACTTACCTCCCTGTGACTGAACCACTCCAGGCGGCCATCCCCACGCAGAACACAGAAGACCGGCTGCCACTGAGGGGGGTGGCCCTGCAGTTGGATCAGGGGCCCTCGGTGCTCTCGAACTCGGGGCAGCTTCTGAGGGAGGAGGAATGGATGTCCAATGAACCAACCCATGTCCGGAATTGGAACACTGGACAGTTCCCACGCTGCTAGTGCGGCGCTGGGATTCTTTACCAAGCAAGTGCTTAGCCCTGTCCACAGCCTGGGAGGCAGACACTCTCATGCTCCCCCACTTAGAAGCAGAAACTTCTTGAGCCTCGATGAGACTCCAATCCTGGCCAGCATCTTGACTGCAGCCTGAAAGTGACCGAAAGAAGCATGCCAGGTGGCCTCCCTGGAAACTATCTATCCGCAGTCACTACAGCACAAGTTTGACCCCCAGCCAGGGAGCTGACCCACATGGTCCAGCAGACCCCTCCTGACCCACCCACTGCTCCCCTCAGCAGTAGATCTGCCTGTTCTGCTCCCCACTCCATCTCTGGCGAATCCTCTCACCTTCCCTCCAGCTCTGGCCTATACCCCAGTTCTTGTATGCATAAATAAATAAATAAATAAGCATTCCCAACCCATAGCAGCCATGAGATAGTAAATGAGTGATGCTTTAGCATCACTAAATATAGTGAGGTAATTGTCATGCAGCATCAGCTGAGGAACACAAGTGGGGTTCCGGGGTCATGTAGCACGTGGGTTACTTTTTAGAAATGGCCAGGCTACAGCCGGGGGACAGCACCTCGTGTCACTCTCTCTGTCACTCTCACTCTCACTATGCAGCTCTTCAGTGCGAGGGCTGTTTCCTCCCTGGGCCTGGGAGCTGTACCTAAGGCACACTTGGGCTCAGTAAATATTTGATGACTAAATTAACTGCATTTATATGTTTTGAGTCTTTGGTGGTGTTCTAGGAACTTTAGTGTTTCTTCAGTGATTCTGCATACTTTTCCCGAGGTCTGAGATGTTCTATAATATCATTAAAGATGTTCTTATATAAATTATATATAGCTGGTCTTTGGCTACAACAGTTTCCCTTCGATCTTTTAACTTTGTGGAGGTACAGAAATGATATGCATTCAACAGGAACTTCACTTTGAATTCTGATTTTTCTGGGCCTGAGGTGTGTGCTTCCATCTTGTCTGTGGTGCTGGGCAGCACAGCCATCACCATGGGAAACACTTACACTGTACAGTGTGCAGGAGTTAGGCTGTTCTATGAGATATTGTACACGTTAGAATCAAGTCAACTTTGTGTTAGGCAACTTGTGACCAACTGGAGGCAATGTCAGTGTCCCGAGCACATTTAAGATGGGCTGGGCTAAGCTATGATGTCTGGCAGGTGAGATACAGTAAATGCATTTTCTGCTTCGGTTATGTTTAACCTCTGATGGTTTCATAGGTTCAGGCAAATAGGTTTCACAGGTTGCACTGCATGCAAGTGGGGGTAGCATCCAGAACTCACGATGCCCCCCGTGGGGAAGGGAGAATCTCAGGTGGCAGTGGCTCTGCCCCAGGGAGTCTCCACGCTGGGGGGGGGGGGGAAGAAGAGTGGTGGGACATTTCAGGACCCTGGTTTGGGCAAGGGACCAGCCTCCGTCGGGAAGGTGGCTTGGGTTCAGATCGTGCCTCTGCCTCATGCTGGTGGATGAACTCAGGCGTGTTTCCTCAGCTCTTTGCACCTCAGTTTCCCCTCTGGCCAAAGAGCTATCTCCCAGGATGGTGAGGACTAAGTTGTGCAAGCATGTGGAGGCCTTGGGAGCTGTTTGCCAGCTCCAGGGACATTTGGCTCAAGGGTTGGGCAACTCCAGGCTCTTGTTTCATTGACAAACACTTCCTGAGTTGACAGTCTTCCCGAGTCCCTACTATATGACAACACCACATGGACCCCAAGTGTGCAGGAAGGGGAGATAAGAGCTGATCCCTGATTTTGAAGGGCATATATATAAACAGACATGTGACCCAGCACTTCCCTGGAGAAGCAGCAGAATTAGGGTTCCAGGGGAGGTGCCTGACTCAGATCAAGCGTGCAGTGGTAATCAAGGCAATCTTCTTGGAAGGAATGGCAGGCAAAACACAAGGAGGAGTGGGGAGAGGGCATCGTGCATATAAGGGTTGGGGGGTTCAGTGGGCATGCTGTGCCATTGGGTACTGCTCTCAGGCAAAGTGTTCTCCAGCTTCAGGGCTTTGGCCGCAGTGTGCCCTGTCTAGCACCCCCTTCCCGTCCTGGGCTCTAGATCCAGCTCTCTCATCTCCTAGGCCTTAGCTCAGAGACGCCCTCGCTGCATGCACCCAACTCCCATCCAGCATGCCCTGAGTCCTAGAGGGCAGAGCAGGGTCTGTCTCATAACTGCGGTGGCTTCTCCCGGCAGCCCAGGGTGGGGCGCCCAGTAGCTGTCCAGTAATAGTTCTGATGAATTTGCAACAGTTACTCCAGATCTTGGTACCAGAAACGCCATGGTATGAGGAGGTTCCCTGCCCAACAAATACCCCCTGCTCAGCCCTACTGCCCCCTTTAAGTACCAACCTTACTTCGCAGCAGCTGACATTGAACCGGCTCATGGGGGCCCAGCTCATGGGCCATCTGCCGCAGAAGTGATACTGCCAGCTGTCCACGGTAACAGGGCAGGAAGTTTCTCAGCAGGGCATCCATCTGGCCTGCAGATCAAGAGGACCATGAGTCGGCTGCGTCAGATCCAAAGACCAGCCTAAGGAGGACAGAACAGGCAAGAATCCACTGGTGGACTCCTGCCCACTTCCTCCCCTAGGTGCCTAACAAGATGTGCTCCAAGTCCCATTCACCCTTAACCCTCCATGTCTGTTTCCATCCAAGGTGAGTGGGTGACTTGAGTGTAATCTAAAACTGCAGCACAATAAGCTATAATTGTATAATCACAGAGTTTAACAAATTTAACAGATGTATACACCTGTAAAGTCATCACCATGATCAAGATAAAAAACAGATATATCGTACCCAAAAGTTTCCTCATATCTCTTACTTGGGAGATTTGCAAAATCTTTTAAAAGCCCCACCCCAGCACAAGGGAACTTTTTGGGATGATGGGTGTGCTCTGTATCCTGATCCCGAAGTGATCACACAGGTGTTAGAGTTCTTCAAGCTGTTCCTGTATGTTCATCCTACTGCCTGAAATTTGGATCTGATGGATGGATCACCAGCAGCCATTATGTGCTACGAGGTGGCCCCTGCAGACATGATAGCCCATGAAATGATAGACCACCCATGATAGAACCATGAGATAAGAGGAGCTGGGATGTTTAACTTTTCTCAATCTGCCTGACACCTGTAACTTTCTTTAGCAAAGAGAAATAAATCTTTATCTTGTTTAAACTAGTTTAGGAAAATAATCCTGAAGCTCCCTTGAGTAATATATTGAATTCATTGTGTGACAATAACTTCACCTTCTTTTCTGGTCTTGATTATAAGCCCATAAGAGTGGGCCCATTCCCAACCCTACTGTGTCTCCAGTTCCTAGCATAGTAGGAACTCAAACTTGTGTATGGAAGTTAGAGGCACCAGTTCCTTATCGTCTCAAAATGAAAACTGAGCCTTGTTTCCCAGGGTCCACACAGAATTGTCTGCCTACCCCTGCCCATCAGGAGATCTGGATGGGCCCATTGCACCTCCCACTTGGCACCACGTCCCCCACCCTGAACCCACACCCTGAGTAGGGTTAACAGATTTACTGAATAAAAATATTGGACACCAGTTAAATTTGAATTTCAGGTAAGTAAGGAAAATATTTTTGTACAAGCAGGTCCTCATGCAAGATCTGGGACAAACTTTGATTTAAATTATTCATCACTCACCTGGGCTTTGTATTAATAGGGCACCCAAGTCCTGAACCCCACCTGTCTCATGCCTGCTTACCCCTTAGGTGCTGTTGCTGCCGCTTGTCCAGAGGGCTAGAGGGCCGCCCGCCCATCCTGCTGTCGTCTACTGGTTCCCTTGAGAGTGAGGCAACACTTCTCTTCCTCACAGCATCTGCGGTTCCTTAGTTCTGGGAAATCCTGGGAGCAGAGCAGCTGGCGAGGGGCCTGGATGATGGTGAGAACTGTGCTGTGATCAGGGCAGAGAAGGACTAGGCTGTGTGGTGGGGGATGTCCCACCCCAGCCCCACCCTGCACCTGCATCCTCCTGGTTCCCCTGGGACCAAGCCCCCAGAGCTGTTGGTTTCTGTGGGGACCTCTGAAGTAGCCCTGGAGGCGCGGTGGGGTTGTGGGAGACAAAACTCCTAGCTGGCTTGGGAGGAGGAATGCAGGGCAGATATCCATCAGGAATTGCAAGCAGTGGCTGGAGTGAGGGGCAAGGACAGGGTGGGTAGAGATGGGATGTCTAGGGTGGGTAGGAATTTCTAATTCTAATTCCTGGTGCCAACCCCCACTGTATGCACCACATTGCTGGCAATACTGAGTCCCAAGAGGATACTGCCATGGCTCCCAGCTGTCCCCCATCTAGGAAACCACTGAACAGACACCTCAAGTCCATGGGATCAGTGCTGGGGCAGGGGAGGAGGTGGCTGAGAGAGACTGTGTCACTGTGTCCTTGACTAGGGTTGCTAGGGTTGCTGTTCCTTTTTCCCTGTTTTGCCTGAACTGGGCAGGTTAAATTGAGTCTTTTCCCCTTTCCCAGTGCCTGGCACAGAAGAGCCCCCAGTGTTTGAGGGAGGAAGAGAGGAGAGCAGGAAAGTCTGCAATCCACACTGAAATGTGATCAACTGAAGGTCTCTCAAGCTTTCAGATGAGGGGAGTGTCAATTTCCAGTGGCTGGAATTTGGACATGAAGGCTGGGAATATAAGCAATCACTTTGGACTATGAAGTGAAACTCACATAACAATGATACAACTATGCCATTTGGAAACTAGAATCTCCAGAGTTAAGCCACCAGCCCTAGGTGGCTTGTCTCCACAGAAGGAATTAAATTGACATTTTAAGTTAGCAGGAACATCTGACTTTAAGTGTCACTAATGTCTAGAGGATTCATATCTTCTTTAAGAAACATCACTTTGTGCCTGAGCCCATCCTTGAGTTATAATACAGAAGTGGGCAAAACAGGGCCCTCCCTGGTGACACAAAGGGTTAAATCACAGCACTGTGAAGCTCTCCACAATCATTGTAGCACGAGTTTGATCCCCGGCCAGGGAGGTGACCCACATGGCGCAGCAAACCTCTCCTGACCCATTTCAGTAGATCTGCCTGTTCCCCACTATCTCTGGTGAGCCCTCTCACCCACCACACCTCTGGCCTTTACCCCAGTTCTTGTATGCATAAATAAATTTTAAAATACTTTAAAAAAAAAAAGGGAAGAAAAATTAGATAATTAAAAAAAAAAAGTGGGCAAAACAAGCTATAGTCCACCCCCCCCCCATGGACCAGACCATGGGGTTAACAAGCCAATAAAACTGTCAGATTGGGCCCTCCCTGGTGGTGCAGCGGGTTAAAGCCCAGTGCTAAGAAGCTAAAGCCACTTCAGCTTGAGTTCGATCCTCGCTCTGGAGGTGACCAGAGACCTCTCCTGACCAACCCGCTGCTCCCCTCAGCAGTATTTATTTCAGTACATCTGCCTGTTTTGCGCCCCCCCCCTTTGTCTCTGGTGACTCCTCTCATCCCCCTACATTTGGCCTATACCCCAATTCTTATGTGCATAACAAATAAATCTTAAAAAAAAGAATGGAGAGAAATAGAACCCTGGGCAGTAGACAGTATGCGCAGAGGACATGGAAATGAACTTGGTGGAATCCAGGAACGGCACAGTGGACTGGTGGAGGTGAGTGAGGGCAGATGTAGGATGGTCAAGATTCCTCAGGAGCCACATGGGCCAGTGAGGTGTATTTCACTCTTCCAAGTAGAGGGGAGGTATAAGCAGCTTTAAAGCAGGGATAGAAGTTATGGGGGTAGGGGTACGTGTGGCCCCATGCCTGTATCCTCGCGTTCCCTTTGCTTCTCAGCCCCCTGCGCTGGTCTCCCCCTGCAGCTCCCAAGTCCCAGCCATCTGCTATTGCCCACTGGGGCTTTTTCAGTATTTCTGTTCACTTTCTCACTGTCCCATGAGGTGTGACTGAACCAGACAAGTCGTTAAAAAAAAACTTCACTATCTGTGGTTTCGACTTCAGGTTTTCAATTCCCATGCCCCTTTTGGGGGTGTCTGTGGGACGTCCCCGGTCCCACACTAGAAAAATTTGTTGCATGGGCGAGACCGCTGTGTGCCTGCCAGCCTGCCCCAGTGCCATCCCGGGAGCCAGCAAGCTTCACTGGGCCATAACCTTGAGATGAGCTCAGAAAATGCAGTAAATCTGCACTTGGCACATTCTAGGCTCCAAGCAGGCTGCAGCCCCATGCAGAGCTGACCCTGTGCGCAGCAGGAGTGTAGTAAGGTGAACTGTGTTCCTACAAGAGTTATGTTCAGTTATTATGGGCAAAAAAAAAAAAGTGTTACTAAGGCAACGATGTGTCAAAATTGCAATCCTACAGTGGTAGAGAAAGAAAGTGGTACGGAGGTTCCTCAAATTTACAAAGACCCAGCAATTTCACTTCTAGGTATATACCCAGAATAACTGGAAAGAGGGTCTCAAAGAGACGTGAGTACCCATGTAGGAAAGAACATTATTTGGCTTTAAATAGGAAAGGAATTCTAAAACAAGCTACAGTATGGACAAGCCTTGAGGATATCCGTGTAAAATCAGTTATAAGCAGACAAACACACACCCACTTGGATGTGGCCCCTAGAATCACCAAATCATAGCAGGTATGTGGTGGATAAGGGGGCTGCAGAGTACTGAATGGACACATAGCTTCAGTTATGGGGTCCGATGTGGTGAGGTTTGCACAAGGTGAACTGTGTCCCTATAAGAGTTAAGTCCAGAAAAATGTTGTGTACTTTAATGCCACTCAACCATACACTTGAAGTAGTCAAGTTGGCAAATTTTATTTTGCTCTTTTACACATAAAAGATAATGTCCACACCCCAAACCCTAGAGCCTCAGAGAGAGACCTTATTTGGAATAAGCACTTTTACAGATGTAACTAATTAAGAATCTTGAGATGAGGTCATCCTGTGTTGAGTGCTTCTATAGCCAAAGAAGACACTGAGACACATACACAGAGATAGAGAGGCAGAAATGGAGGCAATCCAGAGAGGGGGTGCGGGGCGGGGGTGGAGAAGCCCAGGAACCCAAGGACTGCCACCACCACCAAACACCCAGACCCAGAAGAAAGGCCTTGGGTGGATGCCGCCTCGAAGCCTCTAGAAGGATCCAGTCCTGCCCACACCTTGATCTTGTATTCTGGCCTCCAGAACCATGAGAAAATAGATTTTTAGTTTGAGGCTCCTTGGCTGGCAGGACTGTGGTGTGGCAGCCCCAGACTGTCCACCCCTAGGTGGAGGACGAGGACAGCGGGATCAGCCACTCACCCCAGTCGCCTGGCCCTACTTCCCACCAAGGACCAAGAGACAGCAGTGACTTCAAGCAAATACTTTTTTTAATATCTGGGTTGTTTGGAGTGAGGACCCTGGGGCTGAGCCCCCGGGCAGACTGGCTGCCCGCCGCTGTTGGCTCCCAGCAGCACCACTTGGCTTTTCTAAAAGAAGCCCAAGCATGGTGGCAGCGGGGCCCGGCCCCGGCAGGTCCTGGCCCAGACAGGTAGTGCTTGGTCCCAGCAGTGGCGGTGTCCCTCGGGCACAGCTACAACGTGGAATGCTTCTCGAAGGGCACAGTCAGGAGCCTGGCCGCTGCCTCGTCCAGGAACCAGCAAAGCTTCCCAGTGTGGGGCTGAACCAGGGCAGCGGGGAGCGGGTTCTCTTCCTTGTCCTCCAAAATGCGCTGCATGGAGAGGTCAGGAGTATGAGGCCCCCCTTCCCGTGAGGTCTCAGGGCCCCCCAGGGACAAGCCTCCTGAGCCGTCCAGAGGTGGCTGCTTTTCCAGCTACCCTACCTTCATACAATCAGGGACAGAGTTCCCTTCCCTTCTGTGATCTGCGACTACTTAACCCTGAGGTCAGCAAACCTTTACGGCAAAGATCAGAGTCCATATATAGCTGCCTCTTGAGCAACATGGGCGGCAGGGGCTTCAACCTTCTGTGGTCAAAAACCCACAAGGAACTGTTAACTCCGCTCAAACTTAAAGATACTGCCAGCCTTCTGTTGATCAGAAGCTTTACCGAGAAGACACAATTCAGATGTGCTGTATGTTATATATAAAATACAGATGTATCCTTACAATAAAAATAGAAAAAAGAAAATGTTATTATGAAAATCACATTCACAGTGTTGTGTTATATCAATGCCATAAGTTTGGCTGTCTGTGTACAAGAAAATATGTGCATAAATGGAGTTGCATATTGCTCAAGGCCAATTGTCTATTTCCGGCCAGGTCACATCCTGTCTCGCAACTACTCTGCTCTGTCGTCACAGCACAAAAGTAGTAGCAGATGACACAACAAAACTTTATTCATGGACCTGGAAATCTGAATTTTGTAAGATTTCCACATGTCAAGGAATATTTTATTTTGATTTTTTTCTCAATAGGTAAAAACCCCTTTCTTAGCTGAGGGGTTTGGCCCTACAGCCTGCAGCATGCTGACTGCCCTGGTGCAGCCTCCTCATCGGTGGGACACAGACACTGCTTTCTCCACCACGTCTGGCCGAGCATTCTGGGTCTGAGAGCTCATTTACTAAGATCCTGTGAGATCACCCTTCAGCAGGAGCTGAGACTTGAGGCAGCCTCACAGATGTGCACACTGAGCTGGGATCTCTCGGGCCCATAGGAAGGGGCCCTTGCTGATGGGAGCTAAGAGGCTGTCCAACGTCCCGCAGGCTTCGCTGGGAGGGGTACTGTGTCTGCTAGACTCCCAAACCCCAACAGTAGTCACCTCAGGCTCAAAGATTTGGGGGCAAGAATTATTAATCAATTTAAAAATATATTTCCAGTGTCTTTCATAGTCTTTTCAATGACAGAAAAAAAAAAAAACATTAGTTTATTTTAAGATCTTTATTTTATATTTTCCTTAAATATTATGTACAAAATATCTTTTTTCTTATTCCTACTATGCATGATTTCCCTGCACCCCACCCCCCTCCCCTTTAGTTTTGTCAAGCATCTATCTTTTCCATGTCCATGAATAATACTTTAAAGATATTAAGCAATTCATTAAACTCTGATTTTAATTTTACTTAATCCCTTCATTGACTTCTCTTAGTTGTACTTTTTTCTTATACCTATTTCTAGATTAGTGATTATTTCAAAATTTTTTAATGCATAAAATCTTATTCCATAACTGCTGACTCCTCCTGGCCTAAAACTGCAGTTTCCCTTGAACCCAGGAATTATACACTAACTCGGAACCCAGTGTTCTAATACAACAGTGTCTGGGACTCTATTCTATCCCTAGGCCCATGGGCCCATGGCTTCCTGGGAGTGGGTCTTCAGCCATTACCTTCAGAATAGCGGCCTTGCCTTCTCCAGTTGCCACAAAGATGACAGTTCGGGCTGCATTCAGCACAGGAAGTGTGAGGGTCACACGCTGTGGTGGAGGCTTTGGGGAATCGCTAATGGGGGCCACAATCTTTTCGCGTTCCTGAAGGAAAGAGATTGGGGGGTGCACAGAGTGATATTGCCACTGTGACTTCATGGGCACTCACACACACCAGGCACACTCCAGCCATCACCCCATCCAACCCCACTGATCCCGAGGTGTAGCTGTACCTCAGTTTATTGCATTTCTCTTTATTGTGCTTCATAGACCCTACATTTATACAAATTAAAGGTCTGTGGCAAACCTGCATGGGGCAAGCCATTGGCGCCACTGTTCTTTTCCACTGCACACTTCATAGTGCTACAGGACTGTATAAACCTCACTGCTCACCAACTAAGCATAACTGTTTATGCTTTACTACCACAGCTGCTTTACTGTGGTGATCTGGAAGCCAACCTGCAATAACTCTAAGTTGTGCCTCTATTTAACTAAAAGTCCATTTTAAGATAGGCATATGAGGTTCAGAGGAGTTAAGTCCAACATGCACACCTGGCAGAGGCTGGCTTGACTGGACTCTAGGCACTTCTCTCTGCCCTCTGGGCAGAAACTGTGGCTCAGGTACCAACATGACTAGTGTGGGCACACTTACCTGCAGGAGGGGGTGGTCTGGGAAGAGGGAGCAGGTATGGCCATCAGGACCCACACCCAGGATTAGCAAGTCAAAAACTGGGATGGAATCCCCCTGGAAGGCCTAAAGGAAAGAAGATGGTGCAGAGAGGCTGTGAAGTAGGACTCCAAGGACAGTTGTGAAAAAAAGAACCACACATGTCTATAAAACAGAGTGATGCTGGAACTCACCTGTGATCAAAGGTGCTCTAGCCTACAAGCTTCCATGTCTCACCTGGACAACTAGCCCAGAGTCTGGGGACACAACTGTCCCCAAGATAATAGGACCCATGCCTGGTATAGGGTGTCAGTGGGTTGGGGACCACAGGACAGGGCTATGACCTCTCAGAAGGGGGAATTCTCAAAGGGGAAGACCCAGGACAGAACTGGGTCACCCCCAGGGAAGTTTCCACTAAGACAATCATGCTGTGCCACCTGCAGGTAGCGCACCGCCCTGGATGAGGTGTTCCTGTGGCCACTCTAAGGGACTCACCTGTCTCAGTTTCTTGGCATAGTCCTCGGCTGCTTCCTCTACAGGCAGCTGGGGGTTAATGGTGATCACCTGGCTGTCAGGAATGGGCAGCCTAGAGAGGAGGTGGGTCTGTGGCAGAGAGAGGGAAAAGAGGAAAGACACATCACCAACAGTAATGAGGCTTCTTGGTGGCAGAGGGCTTGCACATATGATCATTTAGATCCTCCAGGTGAGGACGCCTTGAGGACAGGACTGCTTCATACCCACCCCCAGTGCCAGTCGAGATCTTTGGCTTCATCCGGTTTGGAAACTTTAGCCCAGTCTGCAACTGTCTGGCTCTGTTTCAAAATCCCTAGAGTCCCTTTACCCTGAACATAAAACCTAGCCACTCTGTATCCTCCATAAGGCCTCTGGACACAAGCTGCTTTCCCTGCCTGAAAAATTCCTATATATCCCTCAGGTTGCCTCCTCTAGGCAGCCACTCCTGGCTGAGCCTTCCTCACACTGCTGCTTAGAGGTACCACCTGTAATTGTAATGAGCGTTAACTTCTCTTTGGGAGAAGCATGGAGAGCTGCCACCACAGGTGCCCAACTCTCTAGTGTGCCACTTCTGTTCAGGTTTAATGCAGAAGCAACTGGACTCAGGCCTCCTGCAACTCAGAGGCTCCAGACATTTCCCACAGAAATAAGTCCCAGGCCTTTGCTGCATTCTGAGAGCCACCTTAGGCCACCTTAGACAGGGCCTAGCTCAGCCAAGGTTATGCTGGGCAGAGACTCAAAGGAAAAGCAGGGAATCAGCAAAAATACAGAACTAGAGGGGGAAGGTAGTAGGGGCATGGGATAAACCCATCAGCTTTCACAGGACTGACTCCCAAATGCTGCCGTAAGGAGTGTGGGCTCTGCACTGAGGGTAGCAGGGAGCTCAGGTGCTGGAGAGTAACATAGTCAAATCCATTATTGGAAAGGCCTCACTTTTGTCCAAGTACAAAGTCCCCATCTGCACACGCCCCTGCAGACTGCACTGAGAAAAGCCAGGAGGAAATACTGATGTCCACTTTGTCACCTGAGGCATAGTTGGGCAGGTGCAGAAAGTGGAACAGCTGGTTTGTCAGGCAGGTTTTCTCTAAACATGTGACAAGTCCTCAGCTAACCAAATCCCCTCCCGGGCCAGGGGAAGCCCCAACCTCAACCCCAAAGGTCCATGGCTGGGGGTGAGCAGAAGAAAATTCCTGCTGAGAGCCCCCAAGGGCCTATCTTCGAAGAAGAAAATGTCTATACTGGGTTTACTAGTGGCCCTCAAAGCTCATGCCCACTGTAACCTCAGAATGTGACCCTATTTAGAAAGAGGGTCTTTGCAGGTAGAACTAGCTAAGATGAGGTCATAGTGGATTAGTGTGTTCTAATAAGCAAGGACACAATGAAAGAATCAGAGGAGAAGACTGTGAAAACAGAAGCAAAGACTAATATGATGTGCCAAAAGCACAATTACCTGGGGCCCCCCAAAAGCACAATTACCTGGGGCCCCCAGAACTGGAAGAGATACAAAGGGCCCTCCCCTGAGTGTCCTGAGGGAGCCATGGCCCTGCCACACCTTGAGTTCAGACTTCTGGGCTCCAGAACCACTAGAAAATAACGCCCTGCTGTTTTAAACTGCCCCATTTGTGGCCCTTCACTACAGCTCACCCAGGGAACTGACAGAATTCTCCTCACAGGGGAACTGGCAGCCAGGCAGAATCCTCACCCACGTTCATTCCCACTACACAGCCTTTGCCTCTGCAGTGCCCTCTGCCCTGCCTGCCTGCGGCTCGCTCCTCACTACCTCCAGCTCTCAGAGCAAAAGTCACCTTCTCAGAACCCAACCCCCACCGTCCAGTTCACCCCCTCTTCCTCAGCACTTTCTATCATTCCACACTATTGTATTTGGTCTACACATTATACTAATGCTCTGCGTGGGTTTCTCTTATTTACTGTCCGATGTATCCTATGCCTGTTGTCCAACAATGAAGAAGGGAACCACCCAGTTTCCCACTGTGTCCCTACCACTGAATTCTAAGTAATTGGGCCTCCCTGGTGGTGAAAGGAGTTAAAGCACAGCACTATGAAACTATGCACGGACTCTGCAGGATAAGTTCAAGCCCAGCCAGGGAGGTGACCCACATGGCACAGCAGACCTCTCCTGTGTCACCTGCTGCTCCCCTCAGCAGTGTACTCCATTTTTTAAAATGACTTATTTATTTATGTATACAGCTGGGGTACAGGCCAGAGGTGCAGGGGCAGTGAGAGGATTCACCAGAGACAGAGCGAGGAGCAGAACAGACAGATTGATGAAATACACGCTGACAGGAGCAGCGGGAGAGACAGGAAGCTCTGTTGTACCATGTGGGTCACCTCCGGGGTGGGGACTGAACTCCTGCTGCAGTAGCTGTGGAGAGCTTCCTAGTGCTGTGCTTTAACCCACTGCACCATCAGGGAGGACCCCTCAGCAGGGTATTTCAATCTGCCTGTTCTGTTCCCCACTCTGTCTCTGGTTAATGCTCTCAACCCTCACACCTTTGGTCTGTACCCCAGTTCTTGTGTGCATAAATAAATAAATCTTTTTAAAAATCTGAAGTTTTCCAAAGTCTCTCGAAGTAAAAAGTCCCCCAAAAAATTTCTGGGAGAAGATACACAGAAGGCAAACAGGGGTCCTGCCCCAGAGCCATGGCCCAATGTATTCCAGGAGGGGGCAGGTTCATGTCCCAGTCCCCCGCTGGTCACAGGGTGACCCTGGCAAGTAAGCTCTCCTCTTCTGGCCTCAGTGTCCTCATCTATAAAATGGGGGTACTAGCAGCATCATCCTATAGGCTGTTGGGGGTAGGATGAGGTAGATTCATGAGATACTACGAATAAAGTGCTTGGTAAAGGACAAAACTTCGTTCTTTTCCAAAGAAACAAAAAAATATCAACAACTAAAAAATCAGTAGCTCAAGTTTCTAAGCCAAAAGAACGCCACACCCAGGACCTGAAAGACTCCAGGCTCCTAGCCAAGCTGGCGCCTCCCACATCTCCTGGGGCAGGTTTTATGGCCAGAGGGCCTCAGGGTCGTCCTCGGCACCTCCAAGTCTCCGTTTTCCCACTTATAACATGGGGGTGTCCCCCTAGTTCTACGAGAGCCGTGGGGCCCCGGTAGAGTGTAAGCCAGGAGATCATCAGCACCTCTCGAGGCGTGGATAGCGCCAAGAACTTATCCAGGTGAGGACGTTCAGGCCTGGGTTCTACACCAGCTCCCTGCTGCCTGCGTGGTCGCTAACCGCCATATAGAGCCTCAACTGTCTAGGTCCCTGGAACACGACTTCACCTTCACGCCTTTGCCCATGTCCTTCCCCCAGCCTGGCCACGGCATAAAGCACAAAGAGTGACTGCAAGGCGCCCACCCAGAAGGGAAATGTCCACAGCCCACGTGGGACATCTGGGCACCCAGATGTCATCTAGCCCATTCCCGTCTCCCGCCTTGAAAGAGGTAACAGGCCCAGAGTGACCCCGCGGGACCCCCATAGCGGGGTTCAGACGCCGGGCGCCGCCTCTTGGGGGTGACTCCGGAGGCACCCACAGGCGGGTTCAAGCGATGGGCGCGGCTTTCTGAACGTGACCCTGAGCGGCCCCCGTAGCGCTCACCCGGTAGAGGCCGTACGTGCTCTCGGCGTGTTCGAAGGGCACCAGACGCTCGTCGCAGAAGCCCACGGTCCAGCGCGCGAGGCTGGCGGAGCCGGCAGGGGCGGCGGCGGAGGGCAGCTCGCGGGCCAGCATGGAGACCAGGCTGCCGCCTGACAGGCCGAGCGCGAAGCGGGCGCGGGCCCCCGCGAGGCAGCACGCGGCCCGCTGCGCTACTAGTTGTGCTAGCGACGCGCCCAGCTCCTGCGGGCTCGAGAAGACTGAAATGAGGCCCGAGGCCGGCGCGGCCATAGCGACGGCGGCGGCGGCGGGGAGGCGGAAGCGCTCCCAGCGGCCGCCAGTGCGCCTGCGCAGACACGGGCCGAGCGCTCTACTGAACGTTCAAGCGGCAGCCTATGGCACATGCGCAGTCGCAGACTTGCCCAGTCGCTGGGTAGGCGGGGCTACAGGGGCTGCTACTTTTTTCCACCTAGTGGTGTCAGGGCAGAGCCACTGGTGTTGAGGAGCCAAGCCGAGATTTTGAGGTGCGGGGCAGGAGGGGGAAAGGAAGGAAGGAATTTTCTGGAGAACGCGTTTAGGCGGACTTTGAAGTTCCTGAACATTCTGACGTTTATCTTGTTACTGTCTGTGGCTTCTTTCTTGAAAATACAAGCTGCATTTAGAGCAAAATAATCAAAAGCCCCCTAAATAAAAAAAAAACACCTGAGTTTTGCCCTGCACAGAGTGGGGGACTGAAAACATACTTCTTTAAAAGGCTTTTGCAAATGCTCACAGAGGACCTCGGTGTCGCTGAGGACTCAGAGAGGCATCTATCCTGGCAGTTGCCTGGAGGAGTTTGCAGGCTGGAGCAAGTGGTCCCTGGTAGACAAGAAAACAGGAATAGCATCTGCAGAAAGGGCTGCAAGGTGGAAGTCTTGATGGGCCTAGGCTGTTAAGTAGTCTCTCCTAAGTGCATGGAGACTTGTATTGGCAAGGCATCCTTAAAATCAATAACAAATTAAGAAAAGCTTTATATGCGATAGTATCAAAAAGAATGAAATAGGGATAAATTTAACAAAAGTGTAATCTTTGTGCATTGAAAATTACAAATGTGTTGAAAAAAGACATAACCAATAGACATCCGTATTCATGAATTGGAAGATTTCATATTTAATACTGAAATATTTAATTTGAAGATGATGGATGGGGCATAAATCAAAAGATGTAGCAGTAGAGGCCCTCGCCGGTGGCACAGTGTGTTAAAGCGCAACACTATGAAGCTTTCCTCAGCACTGTAGCAGGAGTTTGATCCCCCACCAGAGAAGTCACCCACATGCACAGCAGACCTCTCCTGTCTCTCCCGCTGTTCCTCTCAGCAGTGTATTTCAGTAGAACTGCCTGTGCTCCTCCTGTCTCTGGTGATACCTCACCCCCTCTGGCCTGTACCCCAGTTACTGTATGCCTAAATAAATAAATTTTTTAAAAAGATGTAGATAGTATCTAAAAGGTGGAAAGGCAAGGAAATTAAGATGGTAATTGTTCCCAAACTGGTCCATAGATTCAATACTATACCCAACAAAATTCCACCTGCCTTTTTTGTATAAGTTGCCATACTGATCCTAAAATTTAAATATAATTGCAGGGAGTCTAGAATATTCAAAATATTCTTGGGAGGGGAGGGAATTGGAGAACTCTCTGATTTCAGATTTGCTACAAAGCTACAGTAATGAAGACAGGGTATTAGCATGTGCACAATAATTAGTATTAGCATTTGTGCATGCATATGCACAAATAAACCCCTATACTACATTACCTTCAGGGTCCCCAAACCAACCAATGGGAAGAGTAGTCTTCAACAAATAGTGCTAGGACCAGGCCCTCCCTGGTGGCACAGTGGGTTAAAGCAGAGCACTACAAAGTTAGCCACAGCTGTTTCATCACGAATTCAGTCCTCAGCCAGGGAGATGACTCACATGGCATGGCTGACCTCTCCCGTCTCACCCACTGCTCTCCTCAGCAGTGTATTTTAGTCAATCCACCTGTTCCATTCCCCACTCTGTCTCTGGTGCATCCTCTCACGACCCCTGCACATCTGGTCTGTATCCCAGTTCTGTATGCATAAATAAATAAATACCTTTAAAAACATAGTGCTGGGACCATTAAAGAGTCACATGCAAAAGAATGAAGCTGGACTGTGGTAGATAGAATAGTCTACACTATAGTCTTCAGAACCTGTGAAAATGTTTGGTTACTTAGTGAGGGGAATTAAGGTCACAGATGGAATTAGCTGGTCAGCTGTCCTTAAAATAGATGAACTAGATGGGCCCAGTATAATGACAAGGGTTCCAAGAAGTAATAGCTTGAGCGATTCAACCTGCTGTTCCTGGTTTTGAAGATGGTGGATGGGGCATATCAAAAGATGTAGGTAGTATCTAAAAGACAGGAAAGGCAAGGCAATGCATTCTCAGACCTCCAGAAGCAGTGTATTTCCTGACAACGCCTGGATTTCAACCAAATAAGATGCTTCTGACTTCTAATCTTAGGGACTGTAAAATAATAAGTTGGTGTGATTTTAAGCCACTAAGTTTGATAATTTATACAGCAACACTGGAAAGTTAATGCAAATTATCACCTCAATCATATACAAAGATTAAAGTGGACTAGACCTAAATGTAAGGTTTAAAACTACCAGGGAGGTGCAAGGGGTTAGTGAAGCACTATAAAACTATCCTCAGCTACTGTAGCATGAGCTTCATGCCTGGCCAGGGAGTGACCCACGTGGCGCAGCAGACCTCTCCTATCTCAACCCGCTGCTCTCCTCAGCAGTGTGTTTCAGTCAATCTACTGATTCTGCTCCCCACTCTATCTCTGGTGAATCCTCTCACTCCCCCCACACCTCTGGCCTGAACCCGTTCTTGTATGAACCAATAAATTTTAAAAAACCAAAAGTATAAGACACATAAATCTATGATCTTGGCTTAGACAGTAAGGCCAAAATCATAAGCAATGAAAGACAAATCAATAAACTGGACCTCAACAAACTAAAACTTCTGCATTTCAAAGACTACCACCAAGTGAAAAGACTGAGAAAGGACAGAGAAAATCTCAAATCATATGTAAGAGTACAGTATACAGACTACATTCAGAGCCCTCATAACTCATTAAGAAGAGAAACTAATTTTAAAACGGGCAGGGATTCTGAATAGATACTACTCCAGGGAAGATACACAAATGGGTGGTAAGCAGATGAAAAGGTGTCCTGCTGACTAGCCATCCAAAAAAATAAAAATAAAAATCCACCAACTATAATGACAAGTTTCTTTTTAATACAGGTAAGTGCCAGTGAGGATGTGGGGAATTGGAATTTCAACATGTACTGCTAGGGGCAGGAATATAAAGTGACCATTGCTTGGAAAACAGTCTGCCAGTTCCCCAAGGAACTGTGCTAAGTTATGTTATCAGCACACAACCTATTTCCATAGCCAAGAGAATTAAAAATATGTATACACAAAAACTTGTGTACAAATAACAAGCATTTGGCCATAAAAAGAACTGAACTGTAACCTCCAAGATTCGTAACATCAAGCTGAAAGAAGCCAGACATAAAAGGCCACGTCATATACAATTCATTTATATGGAATGTTCAGAACACACAAATCTGTGGAAACAGAAAGTAGATTAGTGGTGGTCAGGGGTTGGAGATGCTGTGGGATTATTTGGGGGGTAATGAAATGTTCTGGAACTAGATAAGAGGGGATGGTTGTACTCTGAATATGCTAAAAACTGGTGAGTCATACAATTTTAGAAGGGCAGATTTCACAAGTGAATGACATCTCAACTAGCACATAGTAGGAGTGGCCCGGGCACAGGGGGGCGACATTGGTCAGGCACCAGAGGCGGCAGGAGCAAAGGCACAGCAGCCAGCCAGCTGGAAACTGGTGAGGAGGCTGCAGGACGACAGGGCTGACCAGAGAGCCTGGAACCTCCCCGGTGGTGGACACCCCTGATCAAACAGGGTAGGGTGAGGAAGAGGCCCAGTTCGAAGCTGCCCCTCTCCAGAAGGCTCTCACCTCTACCCTATTCCTCAGGAAACTGCTGCTCCTTCTTTGTCCCTGACTCTCATAAGGTATTCCCGACATGCTGGGCTGGGGCAAGTTTCTCCCCCAGATCAAAAATGCAAAAAATTCCCTTCTCTCCACTCCTAAGACCCTCCATAAAGGAGAAGTTCGGGACTGTGCTTTCAGATGCCACCTTAATTCCTGACTCATGAAGGTCCTAGGGGGCAAGTCACAGGCTCTCATTTGGTATAAAAAAAAAAAATAGAGCTATGAAGAAATAAAAAGACATGGGGGGACCCTCGGTACTTCTTGCTAAGTGAAGTGAGATTCCAAGTACATGACCCTGGAAAAGGCAAAACTAGAGATGGTCAAAAGATTAGTGATGACCAGGGGTTCTGAGAAGAGATCCAGGGTGGCGCCCAGGGAATTTTAGGCAGTGAAACTGATGTTGTATTTGCCAAAACCCCCTACACAACAGAGTGAACTCTCATGTCAGTGGAGGACTGAACGTATTGATCAACTCAGCGATGGTAACATATGGCAATCTAATATGCTATCAATCAGGAGCTGAGGTGCCTGGGAGAGGATTGATGGGAACTCCATGTACAGTCCCTTCATGTTTTTATGAAGCTAAAACAGCTCTAATAATTTTTAAAGGAACATGGAGGCCAGTCATTAAGAATCATCTGGACCTGGGGGGAATTTAAGTAGTAACGACTAGGGTCACAGGCTTTGGGACAAAAAAGTTCACTGCTGGGCTTTCTCACCAAGTACTCCCACACTATCTTCACCCCCTCCCTGTGCCTCAGTTTCCCTATCAGTACAGCAGGGAAGGTGATGATGCCCCCAGGTGGCACAGTGCCTCCCCCACTCACACGCCCTCCTTACAATGTGGTCCAAGGACAAGCCCAGCATGGATGGCTCACCCACCCTTGAGCCAGCCAAGGCCTGTCTGTGCCTGCACCCCAGGGTCAGGGGTCATCCCCGCCCAGCAAACGCTCTGCTTCCCTGAAGTACAAACATCCAGCAGTGGCAGGTGTGGGGGGGCAGCAGGGGATAGTCGAGCATAGAATGCAGAGCTTGATGTTCCGCATTTGAGTCCCAGCTCAGCCAGCCTCTGTCACAGGCCCAGGGCTGTCACCCAAAGCGGTGGCCCCATCTGGTGCTTCCTCACACACGGGCACTCTTCTAGGGCAGCCCGAAGTGCCAGGGAACACCTTCAGCTCTGGGACACCCTGAGCACCTGCCACAACCCACAGCAGACTGGATGGCGCTTCCAAGACCGCAGGTGGCAGGCAGGTGGTGAGAACACTGATGTGCTTGTCCCAGTCCCCAAGATCCCCCTGGGCGACAGGCAGCACACCAACAAAAGGCAGAGCATGTCGTGTGTCAAGTGAGAGTCCTGCCGAACCCCAGGAAGATTTCCATGCCACAAGAGGGGAGAGTGAATGGCTGCGCTCCCATAGGGCCCTGGACGCTCAGCAGGTTTATTTCTTAAACTCAACTAGGAGAGGAGACAAAACCTCCGTGCTTGGAAAGGCCTATGTGGCCATTTACGACCTGTCCCCCCCCTTAAGGGGCTGCACTGTCTGGCTGGATGGGATGGACAGCCCCAGCATTTTGAGTGTGGGATGAGCCACCAGGCATCGACAGGGACAACCAAAGCATCCAGCAGAGCTGTCTAAGAGGCCGCCACCACCAGCACAGGCTGGGTTGTTACTAGGCGGCCAGTAGTGATCAACGGGCTGCAGGCCCTGAGCCTAGAGGCGACCCCAGGTTCTATCACCAGGCCAGAGACTCCCACCACTTCTCACTGCCATCCTCACGGTCCCACCAGCAGCCATGCTGAGTGGGGATACCAAGAGGCCTCTTCCAAGGACAGTGTCATCTGAGCGGCAGGCTGAGTGGCACAAGCAGTGTGCAGGGCCTTGCCAGTGGAGCTCTCAGGAGACATTTGGCATGGATGACATCCAGTGGTCACAGTCAATTCCGGAAGCTTCTGGGACATCAGGAAGGGCAAGTGGGACAGGGAAGACCCACTAGGGACAAGGTCATCGGCCCGGCTGAGGGGATTTCCAGCCAACCTAGACATGGCTTGCTGATTCCTGGTCCTGACCTGGGTGGACCTGGCAGACCACCCCGGGCTTTTGATTCAGCAGCGAGGGCAGAGGGCCTGCCCGGAGCTCACATACAGGGCTCCAACATCCTAGGCAGGGGCTCCTGAAGGCACAGCTGAAAGGAGAGGAGCCCCCATTCTACCTAGATCTCCTGGGTCATCCCCAGGGGAGCTGAAACTGGCACTTGCCAAGCTCCCAGGAAATGCCTACTCCATTCTGGCAGGAGATGGGGAAGGAAGAGGAGGGGAGAGGACAGGTGGGAGCAGCAGGGAGTAACCGGGGAGAAAGATGCACACACAGACCTAGGGCAGGAAGTCAGGCAGGGCAGGGCACCTCAGGAGTGGGGGTGCGGGGACAGGGCCATGGTTGAAGCAGAGGGGAGGCTCCTCTGGATTGTTTCTCCACCCCAGGATGGGGCAGGGCTGGCAGGCTCCCTAGCCACCTCTCAACGGGCCCAACTGAGAGGCTCTGGACACAGGGGAGGCGTGTCAGAGGGCAAAGGCGCCTGAGCAGATGCGGGTGTAGACGCCCTGGTCCAGCGGCAGGTAGTGGCCCTGCTTCAGGTCCAGGAAAAAGAGCCGGTCCGAGGTCTGGCGTGGGTCAAAGCCTTCGTGCTGTAATCGAGTTTTCTGGATCTTGAAGGTACCTGGGGGAGACAAAGGGGAAGAACACAGGACTTAACAAGGGGATCACCAAATCACCATTCTCTCCCACACATTCTGCCTGTCCATTTCCCCTTTGACCTTCAGGCCCTGGGTTCATGCCCCCTCCAGGAAGGCCTCCCTAACTGCATCACAGCCTGAAACCATGTACTCTCTTGCCTACTCACATGTGCATCCCTCACAAGACCAAGGCAAGGCTGGTCATCACACGGTAGGTCAGGGGTCAACAACCTGTGCCTGAGGGCCAAATTTGGCCTGTCATGTTTTCATAAACAGTTTTACTGGCAAGAAGCCCATTCATTTGCACTATCTGCAGCTGCTTCTGCACTACACGGCAGGGCTGAGTGAGATGTGACACACTGTATGGTCCTTTACAAAAGAGCTGACAGTGAATGATTAAGGAAAGGTGAAGGATACCACCCACAGTTAGTCAGTGGAAAAAAGCAAGGGGCAGCTTTTGTCTTTTAAGACTTCCCACCTGTGTCTATGCAGCTGTCTTTTTTCTCTTTTTCTTAACAGACTTGTGACTGGTAAAATGCAAACATATGCTGAATTCTTTCTCAGAGGAACCTGAGAAGCCCATTATCTGAGCCTCATCATCTGAACCCCAACACCTGGACCCAACATGGGGTAACAATGGGCACAACTAAGCCTCTTCTATTTCTGTCCTTTCTCATTCTTGTCTCCAGAGGGATCTGCAGTTCGTTCATTAACTGCTTGATTGCCTCCCACGAACTGCAGAATCCTGGCCACAGCTGCTCTGTGGTGGATTCCAAAGCATGAGGCTGGCGCCGTCCAGTTGTCCTGCCTCTCCCATCCGGTAATCCAGGGAAGTGCAGCCGCTTCAGCTGCCTTCCGCCTTCTCAGGGGTGTGGGTTTCTGGGTGTCCGTGACTGGAGGCCTTCCTCAACTAATGGGCTTTGATCAAGGCTACTCTTTGGTGGGTCCTGAAGTGTGTGTGAGTGGGGGCTGGGGGACACCTGTCAGATGCCCTTGGCTGGAAGGGTGACTGCCTGCTGCCTCCATGTTCTCCCTCACTTTCGCCATGGCTCTCTTAGTCTCTGGATTCTGCTGAGACCTGCCGCTCACAAATTGACTGACCCTGGCCATGGCTACTCCACAGTGAGTTACACAGGGTGGTGATGCAATCTCTTGGATCCCCATGGCCTGGAAGGGTGAACACCTGGCTTCTGTCTCTGTGTAATCTTGTTTCTCTTGCAGCAGGAGCCACCATTCCCAAGCTCCCCATCTTTGCGAAAAGTGTAGGTTCCTGAGCTCTCTTCTCTATTCAAACCAAGTCTCTCCTGCCGCCTAGAGTAGTGCGCGCGGACAACCAGTTAGGAGCTGTTAGAGCAGCTGCCACTTGCTAGAGACTCCTGTGACAGATGAAATGGTTTGCACCCTGGTTACTTGTAGTCCCGCAGGTGGAAGACAAAGGGTGCAGCCGCGAGGAACTGTGTCTTAGGCACTCCACAAGCCCCCACCCACACTTTCCAATTTTGAGATTTTCGCAAGTGACCTGGCTTTTACAACGCTTCCCTCTGGTGGACGCCAACCTTTCTGGCTTCTCTGGTAGCCCTCATTCCTTGTTGTCCTCCACCATTAGGAATGGCCTCCAACAGGTGAGGCATTCTTTTGTCTTTGTTGGATCTGGCCCGCAGTGGGCAGACTTTCAGCGCAGCGACTACATGCCCTCCCCCATGTCTTCCTAGTGCCGCCTGCCTTCCTTCATCATGGAGACCTGATTTTCTCTCCTTGGTTGATAACTGGGATCTAGTCTTTAATACAAGACTGGAATTGAGATGCTTATTCTAAGTCTATCTAAACTAAAATTCTAGAAGGACAGCAGTAGCCCCTGTCAGAAACCCTAGACCCTGAAGAGGCACAATTGATTCCTACTCTTGCATTCACAGCATCTCCGTAATAGCTCATATTAAATCTGATCAGAGTGCTTAGATTGCAGGGAAGACAGCAGTCAGCATTTCCCCCTTTAATCCCTTTAGCCTTCCTTAAACTATATGGATGCCTGATCTCGAGCACTGCAACCTGGGACCCTGAATATGCTTTCAAACACCAAACTTTACCAACTTTCCAGCCTTGGGCCCTACCTGGTGGCACATGGGAAAAAAACACAGCACTATGAAGCTCTCTGCAGCTACTGCAGCACAATCCCTGGCCAGGGGGGTGGCCCACATGGCATAGCAGACCTCTCCTGTCTCTCCCATTGCTCCCCTCAGTAGTGTACCTCAGTCAGTCCACCTGTTCTGCTCCCCACGCTGTCTCTGGTGAGTCCTTTCACCCATCCCACCTCTGGGCCTGTACCCCAGTCCTTGTATGCATCAATAAACAAATTTTTAAAAAAAAAGAAAAAAGAACTTTCCAGCCTTGTAAGAGGAGGAGGCCCCAGTGAACTAGACAATGTTTTGTTCACCCACTGAGAACTTAGAGCTTTAAAATTTCAAATCCTCCTTCCATCTAGAGATAGATTTCAAGACTCTCCTTTCCTCCCAAAGTGGAGAAAATGGCTAAAGCAGGTAGCAAGTTGAGACATGGGGATGCCCTGGCCAAGGGATTATGGATGAGGGGTGGAAGGAGGGGAGACATCTTTGCTATCTCACTATCTGTCCATGATAGATTCCACTTCTCCAGGCACTCATCCATGATGAGGTCAACTCAGTTCCCACTGACTCCCCTCTGGGCTGTCTTCTTTTCTTTTTTTTTATTGAAGAACTATGGTATAGGCCACAAGTGAGGAAGGTGAGAGGATTCACCAGAGATGGGGTGAGGACATAAGAGGTAGATATACTTACATACACTAAGGGGAGCAGTGGGTGGAACAGAAGAGGTCAGGCTGCACCATATATGGGTCAGGTCCCTGACCGGGGATCGAACTCATGCTCTAGTGGCTGCAGATGGCTTCAAAGTGCTGAAACTTAACCCCTAGGCCACCAGGGAGGCCCTGGGTTGTCTCTTAAAGAATTGGAAAGAATTAGACCTTATTGATTGAAGATTACTATAACTCTATCAGGCTCCTTGAACCCCAACTTTGCTAAGCTGGTATATCAAATCTTAATATAAAACCTAAAACAAGTTATTTGAGAAAATAGGTAATTTAAGGTGTGGCTCTGATGACTCAAATCTCTTTTAGGAATTTAAGGGGGAAAGTTCGAGTCTTAGGAAATGAATACAAATTTTCTGTGCACATCAAAAACCAGAAAGTCTTCCTTAAAAGCGCAAACTCAAGGAAGGTCTTATCTAAAGGAACAAAGAACTCTTCAGAAATTGAATCAACAAGAGTTCTCAGTGCCATCACAAATCTTGGTAAAAACAACTTATTAGTACACACGGGCAAAATTTAAATGAAAAATTAAGAGATCTCTGTGTATATGTCTTTTGCCTGTAGAGGGTTATTATACATTAAAATTAATTATGAATGGCACACATATAAATTCCAAGATTATTTAAAAAACACAAAATCTTGACATTTGTTGAGCCTTGTCCAAATAATCTACTCTTAAAAACCTCTATTTGGCCCTCCCTGGTGGCGCAATGTGTTAGGACGCAGCACTGCAAGCAACCCGCAGCTGCTTAGTTCGATCCCTGGCCTGGAGGTGACCTACATGGCGCGGCAGACCTCTCCTGTCTTGCCCACTGCTCCCCTCAGCAATGTACTTCATTGATCTGCCTGTTCTGCTCCCCACTCTGTCTCTGGTGAATCCTCTCACTGCCCCTGCACCACTGGCCTGTACCCCAGTTCTATATGCATAAATAAATAACTTTTTTTTAAAAAATAGAAGAAGCCTCTATTTGCCACTCTGATTAGTAAGTACGATTTTGTAAAACTGTATAAGTTTGTAGCAAAACTGACATCAAAATTCTAAAATGGTTAAGACTTGTCAAGAAAGAAATAGTTACATCTTTTTGGCATACATGTAAACTGATTCAGATTGATCTAAATGTTCAGGCACCTAAATGTTACATGAGATTCCTTAAGATGCATTCTGGTAAAATATTATCAGTCAACTCAGATACATGTCCCAAAATTGAGCAAACATCCTTATCTACTGCTTTCTATTCAGATTTTAAGGGTTTTGCTTAAGTCTTCTGTTACTTACAAAGATTACTTACTAAACCAGAAAAATTAATTCACAGCACAAGGAACTGACAGTACTCTGGGAATCACCGGTTCATCTTGAAACTGCTCCTAAAAACGGCTAACAGGAGATCCAAGACTTATCACATGGCACACACTACCCTGAGAAGGACTAATGTTCTTAATAGTTTTCCCTAATACTCTGCTTCTTATTTCTAGAAAGCTTCTCAATGAACTGTGCTATATGATCCGTAGAAATTTGCATCTGTTTATGAGCAAACTGAACATTTGTTTTCTCACCCCAAAATAAAAAAACTTCGAAGTATTGGTACTTCATGACAATGTGTGTGTCTTCATGAATCCAGTAAGTATTTAAACTTTAAATCTATTTTCCTCTAGAGCAAAGTGGCAGACTTTAACTGGAAAACCAGAGTGCTTTCAGGAATATCTTACCTCCAGGATTCTAGGTCTGCAAGTAAAATAAAGAATGTGGCTCCCTCGGGAGACCCCAATACATCTGAGGACTTCAGGAGAGGAACTTACACAAAAAATACAGGTACTTACAGGCAACGCCAGGTAATGAGACCATGGCATGATTGCCTGCCCCTGAGAGACAATCTGTTAAGGGCTCAATTTGAGATCCTTATGGAGATTCCAATAAAGCTAATCTTAAAACTATCCAGTTATATTTTGCTCTTTGCTGTGCATGTGCAAAAGAGCCTGCCAAATTTACTAAAACTAGACTTGCAAACTTCATTGTAATCAATTGCACTGCAGTGAAGGTGAAGAGAAATTATGCTTCTATAACTTTTGGTATCAGTTTCTGGTCCTAGCAGTCTGAAAATAGGACTGGACCCTAACATTTTTAATACCAAACTGTAACTCCCAGAAAGGAGAGGTTCAGGTTCCCTGACTCAACGAAGGAAGGGTGGAGCTGAGCAAGCCAGAGGAAGAAGACTGAAGAAGACTTGGGAGAAGAGCTGGAGGCGGCACATGGGGGTACAGACACGTGAAGAAGCAGCACGCGTGCTTCTTTGCCTTGGGACTTGCACCATGGACTTGGGGAATATGGAAGATACTTGGTAGAGACGTGGTGAGAGACCCGCGCGTGGGCAGACTGATGATGGCGGCCTCTGCTTGACTCACAATTTGACTTCGTCCCCTCTCCCCTCAAACTCGCCAGACCTCTTCTGCCCCTTTTCCTATGGTCCCTACAGAAGGTGCCTTAGACTTGTGGCAAACTTTTGGGCCTCATGGCCTACTTTGAGCCAACCCTGCCTGGCTGGGCATTTACCCACGAGGGGACGAGTAACTGGGTGCTTCATTTGGAAACTATATTCTTTATCTCTTCCCTCTGTTGCATGCTAATTCTATTAAAGTTCTTTTCTCCTGGAGGTCTTACACACTAAGAGTATGTTTTGTCTTTATGGGGCAGGTAGCAGAACCCACACAAAGCATGCAGGTGCGGGGGTCCTAAGCTTTCCCACTAACATAACAGTTTTGCACAAATCTGATTCTAACAGGCTACAGCATCTGACAGGCATCCCTTTGTGTATTCCCTGGTGATCATGTGCTTTTGAAAACTTGAAAGTGTAGTCATCCCGAAGCCTGCCCTTCACATCACCCACTCTGCCCTAAAGTTGGAAGGAGTAAAATCTTGCATTCATCATAATCAGAGGCAGTTAAATTCCAATTTCTTGAAGAGGAACAGCTGAAACACCTCACCTCTTGGACTGCCTACACCACTTTTAGAACCAGCACAAAGGACCAATTATCTGTTAGTTCAGGGACTAGCATTAGGGAGGCCATATTCCAGGCCCCTCAGAGGCTTACTCTAAGCACTACCCCAGTTTGAAGCAACTGTACAATGCGTGCCACCCTTTCAGGCCCCCCCTCCACCCCTGCCGCCCCAGATTTTGGACCGGACATGGTCAGGGGGTGTTTGATGGAAGTTAACAATAGGGACGATGAATGAATCTTGATCTTAATCTGAAGCTGCTGTGGAAGTTTACAGGAGGTCAGAAAAGATTCCAGCCAGCAATGGGGGCAGAGGATTATCAATCATAGACTACAACCCCACCTGACCGGGGGGCCTCACCTGTGGTGTCCACTTGTGGCAGGAGGCGAAGGAAGATAGGTCGGGCATAGGGCGCCAGCACCTTCTGCAGCTCCTGGTACAGCACATTGGGGCTCAGCTGGCCGTGGGGATCTGCGATGGCTGCCATGCCTGCTTTGCCCTCTACTCCTAGAGACAGAGGTTGCACTGAAGACAGCCACCTCTGCACCACCCAAGGCCCCAACACACCTTTAAGAAGTGGCCCCTGGCCTCGGGTCTCCAGTCCCACCTGGGATAAGTCACTACAACAGTGAACTACAGTTCCCGCTATGTCCCTGCCACATGTGTCTTGTTCAGGATTCCATTTTCTGGATGAGAAAACTGAGGCTCAACATCATGCCTGAGGATGACGCCAGACCCCGTTTCCCACACAGACTACCACACGCAGCCGTGTCCACGCTGTACACCGCCCAAGGGCACCTGAACCTCCAAGCTCCCCCTGGCTTGGCTCCCCAGGGGCCACTGAACACTTGGACTACCCCCACGACCCACTTGCCTGGGACAGCCACACCATACACAGCCACGTCTGTCTGGCCCAGCAGGCGACTGAGCACGCCCTCCACCTCAGTGGTGGAGACATTCTCCCCCCGCCAGCGGAAGGTGTCCCCACTGCGGTCCCGGAAGTACATGTAGCCCAGCTCATCCATCACTAGCACATCACCTGGCAGAGGGGAGGAGAGATGAGATGGAGGCCAGCCCTCCCACAACCTCCCCCAGGGTCTGCACACCTGAGAGGTAGGCGCTGTCTCCCTTGCAGAAGACACTGTGGGCGATCTTTTTGCTGGTGGCGCTTTCACTGATGTAGCCATCAAAGCGTCGCAGTGGGTCCTGCTGGTTGATCTGGCCCACCAGGAGGCCTGGCTCCCCTGGGGAGGAGACCTTGTTCAGGCTGCATGTGGCAGACGGGGTGATGGCGAGGGCCCCCAGGGGCCTGAATGGGCTCCCACTCACCAGTCTGGCATGGAATGCAGAGGCCCTGGGCATCTCGAAGTAGCTCCATGGTATCCTCATTGACCTTCACCAACCGGATGGGGTACACATGGGGCAGGATGCGGCTGTTGAAGCCACAGGAGCCGACCTGGGTTGGGCCAACTGAATGGTCAAGGAGCCCTGAGGTGGCCCAGGGTCCTCTCGACACCTGCCCCTCCTGTCTGAAAACAGGACCCCCCCCCCACCACGTCATGCCACCCAGATTTGTTGCCTTAGGTGATCTGAAAAGGCGTTGGTACATGCAGCATTCTCCTAGTCATGGGAGAATTGCTAGCCACTGCCACTTTCTGCTCCACAGAACCCTGCCCCCTGCACGTCACCTTGCCAGCTCAGTCCTGAGGACAGAAATATCTGTGGGATGGTGGACACTGTTGGGTATGTCAGCAACCTGTGCTAACACAGCCACAGTGTCTCCTAGGGTGAGGCCTTCTCATACTCTGACAGAACAGAATCCCCTCCTCGGGGTGCTTGCTTCATTATTACCATGTGCCTCATCTGGAGCAGGAGGGGCTTGGTTAAGCAGAATCAGATAATACAGCAAGTTCTCACTTTAGCCTAGCAGATTCTTAAAATTTAGACTTAAGTTAATCTACCTACAATGAAGCCAAGTCCTCCAATAATGTGGTTTTCAACATGTGCTGGGATTGTTTTTCTCATTGATACAAAGTGACACTGAGGGCCCTCCCTGGTGGCGCTCTCCACAGCCACTGCAGCACCCAGTTCAATCCCCAGCCAGGGGGTGACCCACATGGCACAGCAGACCTCGCCTGTCTCACCCACTGCTCCCCTCAGCCATGTACTTCATCAATCTGCCTGTTCTACTCCCCACTGTCTCTCTGGTGAATCCTCTCACTGCCCCTGCACCTCTGGCCTATACCCCAGTTCTGTATGCATACATAAATAACTCTTTACAAAAAGAAAAAGTAAATAAAATTAAAACGAAGTGACACTGAGCACCTGCTATAACTGCTATAAAAGCAGTGTCTGCACACTGAGTAGAGGTTCTGGCTGAGCTCATGTTGAATGATCAGAACAACCACAATGAGCAGTCACCCCCTTTTACAATGCAAGCAGCTGAATTGAATGACTTGCCCAGGAGGAGAGAGGGACCGCAGCTCCCATTCCAGAGCTCTCTCTCCAGACATGGCACTGGGGCTCAGAAAGGCTGAGGGCTGAGGTACTTGCCGGAGGGCACACAGCCTCACCCTACTCTTCTACTCTTAACTGGAGAGCTAGGTAATGACAGGTCATGACTGACTACTCTCTCAGGGTGCAGGAGCTCCCCTGGCCCCAGTTAGGTGGGCCCTGTGAGCCCCCATTCCAGAACAGGCAATTTCATGGAGACACTTGGCCAGGGAAGCAGAGGGAGCAAGCACCTGTGAGCCCTGAGCCCGAACAGGCCCCTGCCAACACCCACCTTCCCGTCCATGTTAGCGATGCTGCAGTTGCACTCCGTGGCCCCATAGAACTCGCCGATCTGGGCCACTCTGAAGCGCTCGGTGAACTCCTCCCAGATGGCAGGCCGCAGCCCGTTGCCCACAGCCAGGCGCACGCGGTGCTGGCTCTCCGCTTCACGCACTGGCTGCTTTAGCAGGTAGCGGCAGATCTCCCCAATGTACTGGACCACCTGGTGAGGGGTGGGGCAGTGGGTGGCCACCAAGGGCCTAACCTCTGAGACACCCCCCATCTTGGATGCTGTGAAAACAGCCTCAGGAATCAAGGAAACAACCCAGGCCATTTACACCCATCTGCTGGCCCGGATCTACCAAGGGACCTGAGCAACCTCTGCTATCCAAGTGGGGGCATCGGCATCCCCCCAATCACGTCCTTCTTCTTAGGAATGCATGCAGGGAAAGGTGGCAGCTGCAGTTAACAAGACAGCCTTCAGGCCAGAGCCTCTGTGCTGTCCCCAGACACCCTGAGGTCCTTGTAGCCCACAGTTACTGGATCATGTGCGCCCTCTACAGGGCTCCTTGCCACCTGTACAAGTGCTGGGGTCATCTTGGGATCCCCCAGATGTCCTGGAGTCCTCATCTCCAGGTGGGCCTCTGATTGACTACCTTCCCTTTTACAGAAAGAGAAACTGAGGCTCACAGTAAGTGGCTCTATCAAGGCTGGCACACGTTAGAACTTTTTGAATCTGAGTCCCTGTTTGAATGAAGCAGTTACAAGCCCTGGTTAACACCAGGGCACGGGTGCAAAGTTCTCCCATGATGATTTCTGCCTGTGGTCAACTCCATCCTGTTGACCGTCACTGCCTCCTTCCCTCCATCTACCCAGCTCACTGACTGCCACAGAAGTCTCTCGCTCAGGCCTTTTACAAGTGCTGTGCTCTCTGCCTACAGCGCTCATCTGAGGAATCAATGGCCTTCATGTCTTGGTCAGAAGGCCCAATGACATCGCCACCAAGAGGCATTCTGACCTACCCAACATTGCCCACTATAGACCAGGAGGCCAATCCAGAACCTGACAGTGGCCAGTTTGTTCCCTGTGCCCTGCCCGCTTTATCCTATCTCCAGAACAGAACGTGTGGCACACACTGCCCAGCCAGCTCAGTTCACACCCAATCACTGATCAGTTCAAGGATGAGCCCTTGACCAGATAGGCCACAGTGAATCCGCCCTGAGACTTTGGATGAACTGGTAGGAGGGGAGGCCCTTTCACCACTAGAGTTCCTGGGACAGCGGTGGAGAAGCTGGAGAGGGTGAGAAGTCACCCGTTAAAGAGGAAACCAAGAGAGGAAGGGGCTCCTGGACCATGCTATGGCCTGAAACTGTCCCCATGTAGCCATCACAGTTCCTGAAGTTAGTCAACCCCTTATTTCAAGAAAGTTAGGGCTGGGGTTAAGATACAGTTCCTTGCACCACAATGTCCTGCCTAAATACAGAGTTGCCCTCCACATGTCATGCTCTGAGCAGCTCCCAACAATCCCCTCCAGAAATCAGTCCTGGGGGAGTGATTGGAAGAGATGAGGATGATACCCTCACGGCTCTGAGGCTATACTCATGCAGTGAGCACCAATGGCTACTCTTCACCTCTGGCTTGGACCCCCAGACTGACTTAGGGTGAGGGGTAGACACTGGTGTCCCAAGCCACGATGTCCAGTCTATGACTCCCCTGTGTTGGGGTGCCCTTGTACTCTAAGTGCACACACCTCGGTGGGTATGGAGACACAAAGGCAGAAGCGCTGAGTTGCTCGCTGCTCTGCTTCTATGCTGCTCAGAAAGCATGTTCTCGAGTATAGCCACTGCCTCCTGTGTGGTGGCCTCCACTACAAATAAAACAGCAACCACGCTGCTTCCCTGTCTGACAGATTCAAGATGGAATCTCTGAGCTCAAACGCATGCTCTTGTTTTCTCAGCACCCTTAGTAAAGTTGACCTTTGATGATTCTTTAGTCCCTCATGTTTACCACAAGCCTTCTCTTGAATGCAGAAAATTCACTTCCAGGGAACAGAAGGGACTTCCAAATGTCTGGTGACAGCAAACAGTGCCCAATGCAACATGTTCTATCTAGACAAAGAGAGGGTTCCCCCAGCAGGAAGACATGGCATTACCCATAGTTCTTGCCAAAAAGGTGAATTTAAAACTCATCAAATATTTACACCAGTAGTTCTCAACCAGGGGTGATTCTGTCCCCCTGGAACACTTAGCAATAACTGGATGCATTTTTTATTGTCACAACTAGGGTGTGGGGTGCTAATTACTGGCATTGGCAAATACCCCACAATGCACAGAACGGCCCCACCAGAGAGCAACCCAATCCCAGGTGCCAGAAATCCCAAATGCAGCTGAGAAACACAGTGCTGGATGCAGCTTTCAAGCTACAGGAAATAACCCCCAAACAGAGGAGCATGTTTAAGTGACCATTAGCGACACCCAGAATGGGAAAACACTACAGGACAAAGAGACCCACTCCTTTACTAGACTGCAAGAGGAAGGAGAGACACAATGATGGACGAATTCTTATGAGACACATTAACCAGTTAGCGTGTGGGTTTTATCTAAATACTGCTTTTGTTAAATTATAGGGGGGAAAAAAATCACCCACATTTTTAACATGGTGAGACACGAGATTGGGTCACTGCCTGGGTACCTGATGACACTGAGAAATCACCATCACTTTTTGGCTGTGGCAATAGTATTGAGATTATTATTGTGTGTTTTGCATGTCAAAATACAGGTAACAAAATTAACCACTCTAATCATTTTTAAGTGTACAGTTCAATAATACTAGCACATTCACTGTTGTGTGGCCATCCTTACCCATCCTCCATTTCCAGAACTTTCTCAGAGTTTTCCCAAATGAAAACTCTGTTCCCATAAAGCATCACTCCCTACATCCTGCCCAGCTCCTGACACCCACCATCCCACTTTCTGTTCCTATGAACCCGTAAATGGAATGTAAGTGTAAATGGAATCACACACTTGTCCTTGTATCTGGCTTATTTCATCAGCACAATGTCCTCAGAGTTCATTCATGTTGTGGCCTGTGTCAAGATGTCTTTCCTTTTTAAGGCTGAATACTATTCCATGGATAGACCATGGATAGACCATACTTTGCTTATCCGCTCACCATCAGAGCACATTTGGGTTGCATCCACCGTTTAGCTACTGTGAATAATGTCACTATGAAAAGAATGTGGGTGTACAAATACTTCTTTGTGGACCCTGCTTTCAAATCTTTCAGTTTAAAAATAGTCCTCACCAGACACTGATCCTATTGATGCGAAATGTCTAGAACTGGCACATACATAGACAGGAAGTAGATTGATGATTGTCAGGGACTGGGGAGGAGGATGGGGAGTGACTGTCAGTGGGAATGGGGTCTCTTCGGGGGGAGATGGAAATTTTGGAACTAGATAGAAGTGGTGTGGCTGGGCAACGTAAATGCCACTGCACTCACTATTCATGTTAAAATGACCACTCTTATGTTATTATGGATTTTACCTCAATTTAAAAAAAAATCTTATCTTCCCGTGATTTTCCTAAAATATCAGTGCAGGAAACATATTGCTATCTGGTATGGTTTCACAATGCTGTAAGAGGGATGTGGGAGGGGATAGAGGGAACAGGTCAGGGTACTGGCCACTGGAGCCAGTGACCAGTGTTCCTGAGCCTGTTTTTCTGTCCATTTTTATATGTATTTGCAACTTTCAATATTCAGTTTAAAGAAAGACAATTTTGCATTTCAAGATTCAGACTAACAATTTCCCCCAGGACCCACCTGCCCTCCCCACTCCCCAAGCAGAAGGTAAATCCTTCACTGCCCAGAGTGGTCCCCAGGAGGCCCAGCCCAGAGCCCCACCCCTGCTCAGTGGTGTATTCTGTGCAAACCGTTGAACATCTGTGGGCCTCCCTGTCCACTACGGGACCGCAGCTGCCAATCTGCCCCATATACATCCTCCTCCCTCCTCAGCCCTTCTTCCTCCTGGGGGAGGATGCTAGCAGCTGTGTCTCCACCCCCATCACAGTGCTGAAAGTCTGGCCTGGTTTCCTCTCACTGAGGAAGGGGAAGGAGAAGAAGGGACTTGTTTCGACCTTCACCCCTGCCTCAGATTCGTCCCACCTAGAAGCTCCTAGCTTTGTTTTAACCAGCCCAGGGTGATTTTCTACACCCACTAATCTCATTTTCCTACAGTTCCCAGCAGGGATAACCCCCAAGGACAAGAGGCAAGGAAAGGCAAGGCCTTAGGGAGATGCCAGATGCGTTTCAAGCCTCAGTTTCTCCACCTGCAAAATGGGCGTGATGTCTTTGCATACTCCTAAAAAGGTAGGAGGAGGCTCCCAGGAGCTTACATGCTGGGGCCAGACACAATGCACATGTTCCGGAAACAGTGGCTACCCTCCCGTGCCCATTCAGGCCTTGTTGAGGGGTGGGCAGGGAGGCCTGTGATCTAATGGAGGGGAATGTGGGGCAGGGGTTAGGGGTGGCAAATGGGAAGGGGTGGAGGCTGACCGTGCAGTTGTACTGGACGCAGTCATCCCAGAAGCGGCTGGCTGAGAACTTCTTGCGGAGGACTATAGTGAGCCCGTAGATGAGACACTGCCCCACACCCATGATGTTCCCTGCGGAGGGCTGGTTGGGTAAGGGCTTTCCAGTCCCCCTCCCACCAGCCCTCACCCGAGCCCCCACTGTACCTGCCGAGTGGTACAGGGGCAGGCAGTCATACAGCACATCTGCTGCTCGCATGCTGTAGGCGTGGTGGCCAAAGGCAGCAATGCGGTAGTACCTGTGGGGCAGGGATGCAGGGGCTGGCACCTCAATCCCTGAGCGTGCGGGAGTGCAGCAAGTGTCAGGGGGCTGCAGACACTGCAGAGAGCCAGGCAGAGCCAGCCCAGCTCGAGAGGGCGTGGGGGAAGAAACAAGCAGCACGTACAGATGTGTTCATGGTGGCAGGTGCCATGATGGGTGTAACCAGGGGGAGGGGCAGAGAGCAGCTGAAGGTGACAGTCAGGGAGGGGATCAGGGAGGGTCCTGTCTGGGAAGGTGACTCATGGGCTGAGGTCTAGACAAGAAGCTGTGGATACCAGCTAGGGAACGGCACCCAGGTAGCAGGCACAGCACGTGCGAAGGTCCTGTGGCCAGAAAAAGCCCAGTGGGTTTGAGGCAGTGTGAGGGGCCAAGGAAGGACAGGGGTAGGGAGGAAGAAAATGCTATCAGAGAAGTGAAAGGGACCATGCATGCCTATAAGGGCTTTATTCTGTGGGCCAATGGAACTGGACACCAGGGAGGTCTGATTCCTATGGCCACTGAGGGAAAAGATCTGTTAGGGACAGAGGTAAGGGCAACAGGAGCCCAAGAGGAATCACAGAGCAGAACTTAGCCCTCAGATGGACCATGTTTCACCAGCTTGTGATGCAGATGCCCACCAGGCTCCAGTAGGAACAGGGGTGTGCCAGGGGATGGTCAGGATGTAGACAATGCCTGGAATTACGAAGGCAAAGCCCATGGGCCCCTCACCTGCTGTGTACGATGATGGCAGCCTTGGGCAGCCCCGTGGTCCCTGAAGTGTAGATATAGAAGAGTCGATCTAAGGGAGATGAGGGTATTGGGGACCAGGGTCCAAGCCAGTAGAAAAAAAAGGGGATGGGTAGGCATTGGTAGGAGGGCTGCACCCTGGACTTACCGTCCATGCCCTTGCCTGGGGGTGGTACTGGAGGTGCTGTAGAAGCCTCTTTCAGCAGGGGATCCAGAAACTGGGTGTCTGGCAAAACACCCTCAGGCCCCAGGTCTCCGGAGCAGAACTTGAGCAGGCTCTTCCCCAGCTGTCCAGTTACCTCAGCCACTGCTACAGCCCAAACACAAGCCATGGTCAAGCCCAGATCCCTTTCCCAAGGCCTAGGGTGCTTGTCTCCCTGCCCCGGGCAGTCCCACGCGAGTCTTCCCCACCAGCCCGCCAAGATGAAACCACACCCGGCCTCACCAGCCGTCAGCTCCCCTCCGAAGACCAGAGCCTTGGCACCTGATGTGCCCAGACAGAAGGCCAGTGGCTCACGACGCAGGTTAACATTGAGCAGTGCAGCCTCCACTCCCGCCTTGGCCAGGCCTAGCCACAGCCCCACGAACTCAGGCCGGCCCTCCATGAAGATGGCCACCACGTCACCCGGGGAGAAGCCCAGCTGGAGGAAGAGGTTGGCCACGGCATTGGAGTAGGAATCCAGCTGCTTGAAGGTCCAGCACGCACCGCTGCCTGCATCCACCAGCGCCAGACGCTCAGGGTGTCGCTGTGCTACCGCCTGGAAGATCTGCGGGATGGTGTGGCGGGTGCGCTGGTGCTGCCTCAGCTCCAGGCGCACGCGAATCAGCACAGAGAGCCCACTGGGAGAGACGACAGAGGGCTGTGTCACTGTGCACCCCTCCCAGGTTCCCGCAGGCCTCCCCAAACCTTGGCGTCCCCTTCTGGAGAGGGGGCCGGGCACAGGTCCTACACCCTGAGGGGCAGAGGTTACATGAGAAGCTTCTGGTTGCGGGGACTAAGGACAGAGCCATTTTAGCAAGCCCAGAGAGGGGAATTCATAAGTGTCCCCAGGCCTTGCGTGTAAACCAAACACCCTAGATTCCCAGAGGTGCTGGTGCAGTATGATCCCTTCAATTTTGCAACAAAGAGAGTCCGCTCTCTTACTTGACAAACAGGAACACTGTGGCCCAGTGGGCTGCCACCTAATATAATACACCTCTTCGAAAGAGAGCCACGTCAGCCAGCCAGGAAGTGAGGCAACCTAGACCCTAAGCTGAACGGCCATACCTACTTGTCTATCCTCCTCTCATTTCTACCTACCTTTCCCTTCCTCCACCAATATATCCCCTGAAAATTTCTACACTGAAACTCCTTCTAATAGTTACCCGCTTACTGGTTCCCAGGGGGAACAAGCCTTTACCTGGTAGGAATGTTGTTACTGTTAACCAGAGTGGACAGGTAACGCCCAACATGAGAAGGTGTGGGGGGGGGGAACACGTGGGGTCCACAAAGGGGCCCTCCCATGGACACTGTCTTTCCTGGGAGCAGTGGCCTCTGTATTTCCCCCACTCTCCTTTTTGGACCTTGTATATTCAATTTCACTGTCATTGTTAAACTTGTTTCTTCTTGTTTAGAGATCATTAACTCAACTCCTCCTGCAAGAGGAACAACAGTGTCCAAGGCCTCCCACCCCTTGGCCTCTCACCTACACTCCTTTCAGACCAGTAGAAAGGATTATCACCAGCCAGCTCAGGTCTAGCATGAGAAAGACCTTATCCGAGGCCCCTGAGGGAGGGAGTGGAGAGTGCCTGGCCCCAGCCTGAAGTAGCTGCAGAAAAAAATGGGCCTCCCCACTGCAACTCCCTGAGATTCTGGGCCAGGTATGGTGGGGTAGGGGTGGTGCTGAAAGCTTAGAGTGGAAAACTTAGCATGGATTTTTTTTTTCTTGCAAAATCAAAAACAAGAGGTAGGGGCAGAAAATATTAGCAGCCTACAGAAAACAACCCAACCCAACCCAACCCCACAGCTATAAATTCCAGAGTAACTCCATCACAGAGCAATAGATAAGGACAGCCCTTGCTGCTCAAAATGCACATGCCTGTGATTATGCAGGCAACTCTTCCTCTTAATAAACATGCCCTGTGGCACTGAACAGACTGCCAAGTTTTTTCTCAAGGGTCCCAAGAACCCCCCCTACCAAACCCCAACATTAGAACTCCATCTGTCCTGGTTACTCTCCTAGGACATCTAGAGTACCCCATGCTGACCCGCCATTTCCAAAATAGACCCCATGTACACGTCCTACCCCAAGCAGGCCCTGGGGTTCAGCCTGAGCTGAGTGGCTGCTTCACCTCCCAGCCACTCAGTGGTACTGAGCACAGGTGGCTGAGTCCTCTAGCATGAGGCCCTCCCCTACCCCCACGGGCTAGGAGGCCTACTAGTCTAACAGGGTGGTCCCCGGGAAGGGGAAGTTTGGGTTCCCTGCCCCATCCAGGGGGGTGAAGCTGAGCAGAGAAGAGAAGGAATCTGAGGAGGAAGAAAACAGGATGGAGAGCCAGAAGGAGAGCAGAGGAACCACATGGAGCAAAGGGAGACATGTGAAGAAACCGTGTTTATTTCTTGGCCCTGGACTGGTTGAAAGCGATGTGGGTGAGATACCTGTAGGGAGGTAACTCTGGCAGTATTTATATTGATTTTGATTTTGCTCTTTTCCTCCCAGACTTGTCTGGCCATGTCTGACCCTTTTCTATGTGTCCCAGCCAGAAGGTGCTTTAGTCTTGTGACAGGCTTTCAGGCCTTGCTTTGGGCCAATCCCTTTTGGGTGGACTTTTGCCCATGAGGGGTGAGTAACTTCAGGTGTTTGATTTAGAAGTTATATTTTGTCTTCTGTACACTACAATAGGTTCTTATTCCCACACCTGCCCCAAAGATGCAAGGGGATAGGAGACCCCAGGCGAATGACCACATGGAGATGAGTGAAAATTGCTGCAAAGATGACATAGCAGAAAGAACCGAATCAGGGTGAATGAAACAAGCTAAGGCATGAAATGGTCAACTACTGCCCTCTCAGGTCTCACCTCCCCCCATTATGTGTGGCTATAAATTTTTCCTATGGCTGATGCCACTTGCTTCCTTATGAAGAATACCTCCTGAGGGGAGGACAAGAATAGGAAAATGGGAAAGGATGCTACAAGGTCAGAAACCAGTCTCCTACAGGAAGTGGAAGTGTAGGTAGAGGGATTGAAACAGCCATTAATCCAGCTATAAAAACTATTAGATGCCTTAGGGAAGGTGAGGAGCACAGACCTGAAGGTGAAGATATGGAGATTAAGATATGGACAAACCCTCCAGTCACAAAGATGAGCTCCTCCGCACCCACAAGGGGATGGGTAACTTCAGGTGTTTATATTCTTTGTCTTCTGTGTTGTATACCCACCGTATTAACTCTCATTTTCATTAAAGTCTTATATGTTTTGTCTTGATGTGGCAGATGGCAGAACCTATTTAGAGCAGGCAGGTTTGGGGGTTCAGTGGTGCCCCTCTCTCCCTGTCCTGTAACAACATGAGAAGTTTCCTAAGAAGGAACAAATGGGACCACCAGGACACTATCCACAGGGACAGGGAGCCCTCGCTGAGGCTGCAGTGCTGATATGGCCTTTCAAGGCTAAGGAGCAGCTGCTGCGCAAAGCATCCCGGGTGGAGAGCTCGGCCCAGTAAAGCCTAGAGAGCTCGGCCCAGTAAAGCCTAGAAGCAGCAAGGCAGCCACACGCTTAAAGAGAACAGGGTCAGCGGCCCGGTGCGGGGTGAGTGAAGCAGAGTGGGAGGAGGCAGCTCTGACAGAATTATTCACTAACAAGAGGACCAATTTGAGCACAGTATAATGTCTACCATTACTACCATTATTTATTGATGGCTTCTGATGAGCAGAAGAGGAAAAAGAACCAAAAGCCATGTGGTAAGGAAAGGATAGATAGATAAATAATGGCTCCTCCTTACAAGGGAAAACTGCAGCCTTCACAAAGGGGTTGGGGGGAAGCCTGCAGCTGATGAGGAAGTAGCCTCAGGCAAGAGGCAAGTCATGGGCCCCTTGGGGCCAACATGGCAACTGAGCACCTAGAAACTGAATAACTATTGCGCCCCTCCTCAACCCTCAAGACAGCCAATGAAGTGATGTCCATCAAAAGCATCAACTTCCAGGGACCAGGAAAATGTGGGTGGACACCAAATCATCCCACTTTGGAAGCTGGGAGCTGCAGCTGAGAGGCAGGGGCACTAGGAGGTAGGAGAAGCAGGAGCCTAGGCCACAGTGGGGGCTGGGTGGAAACCTAGTGAAGAAATAACCCCGCTATAAAATAAGGCTGGGGATGCAATGTCCAGAATGGTAAGAATAATACTGTACATATCTGAAAGTTGTTGAGTTTTCATTACAAGATAAAGAATTTGTGGATCCTCCCTGGTGGCGCAATGGAAGTTAAAGCTCAGCACTATGAAGCTATCAGCAGCCACTGTAAAACAAGTTCTATCCCCAGCCAGGCAGCTGACCACATGGTGAG